ATCACCTATCTTTTAAACGGTACTATTAACCTGTTGAACTACCACCTATCTTTTAAACGGTACTATTAACCTGTTAAACTATCACCTATCTTTTAAACGGTACTATTAACCTGTTAAACTACCACCTATCTTTTAAACGGTACTATTAACCTGTTAAACTACCACCTATCTTTTAAACGATACTATAACCTGTTAAACTACCACCTATTTTTTAAACGATACTATTAACCTGTTAAACTACCACCTATCTTTTAAACGGTACTATTAACCTGTTAAACTATCACCTATCTTTTAAACGGTACTATAACCTGTTAAATATATGTCACTATTTTGAAACTTCTTTCCGTCATCCCATATTAACTGCACTTTTTTATTGTCTCAGTGACTTTTGAAAATAAATAGATTGCCCAATACAAAACCATCCAGCTGATCTTTGGTTTGAGACTCTGTAACATTTACCAAGATATCTTTTCACATTTTGACATTACATGAACTGATATTTTTGATTAACAAGTCTATAGGGAAGACCGACTGGATTAGGCTTCTCAACAAATAACATGTAGACTTCTATAAAATCTAGCTTGTCTTATTAATCTTCAAAATTTGTAACAAAACCACACGAGTTTAGTGCATTTTTTAAGCACCCACACAATCTACACGTTCTTGTTGTTTTTTATATACATTAGTGTATCTTTACGTATCTGCTTTAACATCTTGGCATACAGTAGTTTAAATTTTACACTCCAAAATTTTCAACCTTAACGATTAGCTTCTAAAGTGATCTGAATTATTCCAATGGTCTAGACTTTCAATAGATTTGGTTGTAAACGAAGAAATAATTAATACTATCTTACGTCAGAAGCTTCATTTCATTATACTAATTTTACAAAATCCAGATTTTTTTTAAACCCCAATTTTAAAGAATCGTGTTTCGCAATCAACTCTAGTACGGTGAAAACTACCACGGATACATCAAGAATGTTACTCTGACATTCCACGGAACTCGTGACCAGCCAGACCACATGAAGAACGGATCTAGGAAATATGCCAATGAAAGAGACGTAGCAAACGTTATTGATAAAAAAATGGTAGGTATAGCGAGAACTATTTATTGTTTATTGATGCGATAACAAACATCGTAAGAGATCAATCATTGCGGTACTTAATCCCTATTGTTAGCGAAGCATGACTGATAGATCAGGAGTTTGTATGACTGATCATAATTGTTTAAAAATCCTTCTTTACTGGCGCTATAAACACTTCCAGTAATAAACTTCCAACCGTGTCTTACTGTATTATACTAGAGCTTGCTAACAATGCCACACAATACCACACTCTACTGTATTATACTAGAGCTTGCTAACAATACCACGCTGTACTGTATTATACAAGAGCTTGCTAACAATGCCACACAATACTGTATTATACTAGAGCTTGCTAACAATGCCACACTCTACTGTATTATACTAGAGCTTGCTAACAATACCACACTCTACTGTATTATACTAGAGCTTGCTAACAATGCCACACAATACTGTATTATACTAGAGCTTGCTAACAATGCCACACTGTACTGTATT